ACCTGCGCCATAAGGGTCATAATCCCTGATGTATCTCTCTAACAAATGGCGACTGGAAAAAAAAAGAGTGAGGTAGCAACCGCTGCTCTGCAGGCCGGATAAGCGAGGACCTCCTGCCATTTATTATTTAAACGGTTCTTTTGGGTTATCTTTTAGCCTGTCAAGTGGATGGGCTTAGAGATAAGACGGAGTGCACGAGTCCTTTTACCCGAAGAATGAGTGCGTGAGTGAAGTGAGTGAAGGTCTACATGAGTCTTTTAGTACACTGAAGGTGTGCACTTGGCTCTTAACAAAGCCAGTGAGTGAGTAGGTGGGTGAGTGAGTGAGTAAGTGAGTGAGTGAGTGAGTGAGTGAGTGATTCCCCATTACCCATTGCCTCTTGAACGGACATTCGACGAGAGAAAATAAAGGTCAAAGCAATATATCCAATTTATTTTCCTTGACTCTTTACAGCAAAGCTCTTAAACTGGGATGCTACCTCTATTGTGTATATGTTCTAAGGTTGCTCTAGTCAATAGAGCCACCTTGGAACATATACACACTAGAGCAACCTTGAAAGGAGAAGCAGAAGTGACACAATAAAAGAAACAACAAGACGTCTTAAATATTTCTTCCTCCTCTTTCACTCCTCTTCCAAAGACAACGTTGCCAAAGAAATATGAAAAGAAAAACTCACAAAAGAATGTAGATAAGATGCGTAAAAAAATCGTAGAACATAAAGATAATTCCGATAAATCATACAATTTAAAAAGCACTAAAAATGCATAACTATAAACAAAATCAGTTATAAACAAAATGAAAACAACTATAAACCAATCCAAATCGACTGTAAACCCAATCCAAATTTTCATTCATATATATATAAGTGTTCATTCTTCATATATATTTGGACGGGGCCCTCCTTGGGCCTCAGAGCCCAGGACAGGTCCAGGCTAAGGAGCAAGGAGTTCCCTTTGCCGTCATTATTCTCCTAAGGCGAGATACCTGGTAATTACCATAAGGGTGAATTAACTCCGATCGAGAGAATAACTAGCGGGAAGAAGAACAAGTTCTTCGGTGAATGTTTTATTTTGCTTAATCGCGGCCCATTTTCGCGCAACTTTGAATCTTTTCCATTTTGGTGGGTGTTGGGGGTGTTTGAGTGTGCGTGTGCGTGCGTGTGTGTAATTACCTAAGTGTAATTACAGGATGAGAGCTACGCTTGCGGCATTCCTTGCGTGTGTGTTTGAGTGAACTGTATTTTAGATAAATCATTTTCTGGTTAAAACCATTTGTTTAAATTGTGGATGAAATTAACTCCAGTAGAGGCCGGAGGTTATCTTACTCACTGAGATGAGGCCGGGGACATCTTACTCAGCGCCTACAGGTTGAGGTCGTCTTAGCAAATATAAAGTAGCTCACTGAGTCAGCATATGGTCCCGTATATACTGACAGGTTCATCAGCAGAGACTGTCGTCTACCTGGAGAGAGTTCAGGGGAGTCATTCTACTCCATTGAGTCCGGCCTGGCCTCGGCCAAGACTTACTGTAACCCGTCTTGAGGTTATCTTGAGTCTGAGGTTACTGACACAACAAAGTTCCAGGATCAGGGTACAGGGATCTCAAGAGATCTGTGCCCATCTGCTGAACACCTTCTGTCGTGTTCACTCTATATATGTGGTACATCTACACTTCTTAAGCTTCCAGCTCTCCTGGGTCTTCCAAACATCCTGCCTTCCAGCCTTGTATTCCCTCTTCTAGTTCTGTTGGGTATTCTAGTTGAGCTTCCTCTTGCACATTCGACTCCCTTGCTCTTTAGTCTACCTTAGTCTACGAGTCTTGCTCTTTAGTTCACCTTAATTTGATATCTCTATGTTATCACATATCTCGGCTCCTCCTCCTCTTCCCCGCTCGTTTTTTTTTCCAGACCTAACTTCTCTATAGCTCTTCAAACATTTTCAGCCCTCTAAAAAAAAGATTTCTAGACCTCCAAACGAACATGCCCAGCCCTCCAAACTTCTCTAGCCCTCCAAACTTCTCTAGCCCTCCAAACTTCTCTAGCCCTCCAAACAAATATGTCCAATTCTCTATACTTCTCCAGCTCTTCAAACTTTTCAAGCCCCTACAAACTTTTCCAACCCTCCAAACTTTTCCAGCTCTCTCTCTCTCTCTCTCTCTCTAATTTCCTACCCTGTTTTTACTCTCATTAGTCCAAACCTTCTCTACTTGGGTTCCATTACCGCTCCTTGCCGATTGCTCACACCCAGACGCCTCTACCTTCAGTAATCACCCACTCAAAAAACATTCACCTACATCAGATTCTTTAACATTTCTCCCATACATCTTCTCCCACGGAGGAGGAAGGCAGCTTTAAGAACCAAAATGATGCCAAAGTTAGTGTCCAAATTTTGTATAGAGTCTCCTTTCAGCCTGTGCTTCGACATACATGTATTAATAAGATGCAGTGGGCTTCGTTCTCCGCTCACAACCGAGGGACTCTGGTTCAATACCCGGGCAGGACA